GCAGGAGGCAGCTGAGCAGTGTTTCTCTCTCATCGATGTTTCTAGCTCTCTATCTCTCTCTCCCTTCCTCTCTGTAAAAAATCAATAAAATATATTTTAAAAAAACTAACTAAGCTTTTTCTAAACAAGATAAAAAGATTATTTACCATGTAACTAAATTGCTAAAGATAAGAGACTGAAACATAAAATAACTAAGCCTTTTCTAAACAAGATAAAAAGGTTATTTACCATGTAACTAAACTTCTGCATTCACAAGCAACCAACACATGTGTTCCTAGTTTATTTAACATTTCCATTTATAAAAATCACATGGGCAATATGTGATTTTTCATAATTGACTAGTCTAATGTAAATATGAACTTGGATTCACAGTATTACTATATTAAGTGAGAATAAATATATGTCGGAAAATCTAGAGCATGATTTCTCAGACTTTAATGTGCACAAGGATCACTAGGAGAGGTTTTGTTGTTGTTGTTGTTTTTAATATATTTTCATTGATTTCAGAGAGGAAGGGAGAGGGATAGAGAGATAGAAACATCAATAAGAGAGAATCATTGATTGGCTGCCTCCTGCATGCCCCACACTGAGGATCGAGCCCGCAACTTGGGCATGTGCCCTGATTGGGAATCGAACTGTGACCTGGTTCTGTGGTTGATACTCAACCACTGAGCCATGCCAGCCGGGCTAGGACGAGTTTGTTAAACCATAAACTTCTTGGCCCCTTTTAGGAATGCTGATGGAGGAGAGCTAAGGTGGCCCCCAAAATTAGCATTCCTATCCAAGCTCCCAGATGATGCTGATATCACTGATACTGAGGCTGGGGAAACACACTGAGTAGCCCAGACAATTCCCTTGCAAATGAGACCAAATCTGTACATTTCTGTAATTGATCTGGTTTGTCTAGATGACCAAATAGACTTGACTATAGATTCATGCAGATGAATGGAATGGGCTGAGAGAGAAAGCAAGACAAGATATTTTGGAGAATAATTTGCGATTGACTTAGAATGAGATTATAGGAAGGGTTAGTCCAGGGTCGGTAAAGAGAGGGAAGAAAATCAACCCAAATTCACACAATCTGAATCTCCGCTAATTTATTAAGGATCATAGATTCTTCTTCAAGTTTGGCTCAATTACCCCACAATTTTTTAAATTGTCAGAAAACTAGAATCATTTAGAAAAGGCCTCATTTCCTGTTATTATCTTTTTACTGCAATCACTTATTAGTGCCGCCGGTTATCAAGGAAGCAAACAGTGATCTCCCTGAGGAGGTCACCGTGCTGGTGAGCAAGAGCGTGCGGATGGAGTGCTTGTCGGGCGGCAGCCCCGTACCGAGGAATTCCTGGCAGAAAGACGGTCAGCCCTTGCTGGAAGATGAGCATCATAAATTTCTGTCCAATGGAAGAATTCTGCAGGTAAAAGTAAAAACATCTGACTTTAAAATACCCGCTAGACTTTGTATTTTATAATTGTCTTTATGACTTTTAAAAGTAACATTTTTATTTAGAAATAGATTTGTAAAAATAACCAAACATAAAAAGGATATGAAATAAAATTATTTTCTTGATTTTATTCACACTATGAGAGGTGACCATTATTACCAGGTTTATGTGAAATCCTGTAGAAATTGTCTACATTCAACACACACACACAGACGCACACAAGTTAAAGACAACGTGGTCTTTGTAAGATTAAAAAAACAAACAAACCATTAAGCAAATTATTACAATCCTTTTCACTGCATATTTCTGGTGATAAAATTCTAGCTGGTATAAGATTCCCTGTCAATTAAAATTTACTTGCTACTGGCAAAGAATTTATAATATAATAATAATGGGAACCACATAAATATCCTGAATTGTTCAGTAATGGACATGTCTATATTTTTCTTTCCAAGTGTCCTAAAAAATAGTTAGGTACTTGTAGAAATAACACTGATTCGTTAGTTTACAACTTAATTAAATTATTTCTTGAACATGTAAATGATATCCTATAGGCCCAAGAATCTAAGCATAACTATCGGTGTATCTAACACAGGACATATCTCCTAGAGTTTGTTATTTTTTAAAAAATGAGTCAGCTCACTGCCTATAAATAATTTTGAATTCTCAAAGTATCTTGTAAACATCCTGACTATTTCTATTTGATGATCATACGACCTCTACAAAAAATACTTAAATGTTTCTGTGTCTAGGGCCAAAAAAACATAGATGGATAGCACTTTCTGCTAAATAAAATAAATTATCTGGTATATAGCTAACTATTGCTATGCAAAACAAACCACTCCAAAACAAGCACTCAAAACAATAAGCATTTGTTCAGCTCACAATTCTTCCTGTTGGCTGGAGGATTCTTCTGGTCTCATCTGGGCTTACCCACGTGTCTGCCTATTATGGGTAGGCTAAGTGGTTCTGCTGATCTTGGTGGGCTGTTGCACATATCTGGGGTCTCAGTTGCAATAATGGGGCTGATTCTTCGCCATGTGATTCCATACCCTCGAGCAGGTTAGTCCTGGCTTCCTCATGTAGTGACCGGGTT